TTTTCTTCTTCAACGACCGTATTAAAGTGAACCAGTGCCCAAAACTCTGTAGCGAAATCATGGGAATTAATATTCAACTATTCAGGCGTTTGATATGCACACAAAACCCCAGTGGAGTGTTTATTTCTGCACGATATTCATAAAGAAGTTGACACGAACCACCTTTGCGTCATTTGAAATCCCAAGAGTCCGCTTCTTCACGGTAGAGTTTGGAGTCCGACGTCACATGGGGGTTTGTACTATCGGAACACCTACATTGTATCGTCATCTCACAGCTTGCTTCCGTCATACGCGGCAAGCTGAGCTGATTTTCCCTGTAAAATGGCCCATTTTGGTGCCTTTCCGTCTACGCACACATTCATTCATTGATCCTGCTGTAATGACATGAAATAGACTTGCCCCAAGCTAAGTCTTGACGACACACTTTCAAGCATTACTTAAAACATACCAACCATAAGGCAATCCGCATTTATACCGCACATAAGACATAAGTTGGGGTTTATTGTCCTTTAATTTCATTCATTCATGTTTATGATCCTGGATTTAGTATCGTTCCACTTTCTGACAAATTGCTCGTGGCACATACGGTGTAAAAATTAAAACAACGGACAAACTTGTGACTTGTTGAGGTCTCTTTGAGAGCTTGATCGGATCTGAGATAGTGGGATGGGATGGTTGAATCATAAGGCCGCATTTGCATTCGTTGATTGTTTCCGACTTTCCGTGAATATGTCCACTAATAGCCACACAGTCTACAAAGAGAAATGCGATGCCGTATACCAATGACGAGAAATCTTGAAAAAAAAGCGGCTGGAACGAGACGCGAACCAAATATACCGTGACATCTACATTCAAGCGACACCGTAAATTTCCGAATATTGAGTCAAATGACGATGATCCCACAGTTGAAGTCACTATTGTATTACTGACAAAATTATAGCCTAGCAGCGGTTTGAATTACAGTAAGACAAGAACGACTTCATTACATGAAGTAACATGAACAAGTGTTGCAGATAACGAAAGAATCCTAAGTTGTTTTTTATTAATTCATTGATGCATCTATAGGATATCAATTTTGTAAAGGCATAGGCCTATTGGATTATTTGCTTTTCATGCATTTTGTTGTTTCCAATAATAACACCACTCACATTCCAAAGAAAAATGTTCAAGACCTTACCTGTTGAAATTTCAGCTCAGTGGATATTACACTTTTCGAGAAAATTAAAAACCATGGGCACAACCTTTTCATTACGAATCACGAATTTGTCCATAGCACCCTTTATTTCCAAAACTCAGTCACTTAACTGATCGCTAAACTTCTTGATGTCTTCTATACGACAGCAAGCGGAATAGGTGTTTAGTACAGTACATCTTTAATACAAGTAAGCTTTAAAATCATTTTTGGTAGGTTACTTTTGGGATTAAATTTGTATATGATCCTACATGCCTTGAAAACCCGATGACAAGTCGCAATCATTGATCAACGTGCCAATGAACAACCTTCTTCATATTCCTACCTATATCTCAACCTGCCTCTAAGATCAAAGAGTCAACATCTTGACTTGTTTTGTCCCCACCTTTCCTTAAAGTACGGTTCGTCGACCGCCAACTATCCTCCAACCATACGGTTAAGACATAAATCCAATTGGACTGTTGAGGGGCACGCGCGCGTCAAAGCACCGATCCTGCATAGCCCGAGAACCCTCATCGCGCGATATGGCAGCAATGAGATGGACAAAACAAAAATCCCCATGGCAATGTCATTTCTGCTCGTGTAGGTTAAGAAGGGAGAGAGAACCACGAAAAGACTGACACTTTTAGTATTGAATGAAATATGGCTATCCGCGCGGTAACACAGAAATTGGAGCGTAAGGTTACAAGAAACCCCGAGTATGTGGTAAATGGTGCATTCACCAAAACACGTGCGCTTCATTCACGACACTTCAAAACACCATCACAATTTATGCTGATTCGAAATTGGTCGGCTACTTGTTTTCTTCAAGCGCACGCCCGCGGTACCATAGGCCTCCTCTTATAAAAAAAAGAAAGAAAAGGGACAATATTGCCAAGGGTTTCCACGCGGCCAAAGTGAACTCTCGAATCACGCAGTACCTTCAGCACAAGGACTTTGTTTTCCAAAACAGACCGCATTTCTTTGAACGACTAAATCGAACAAGGAAAAGGAAAAATCGTTCAAGACTTCAAGTCTAAAAGTATAGAACAGTCAACAGTATAGGGTGTCGCACTGTTTACAAGGAAAAACACTTAAAAAGGTGTGTGAGGCATGATTTATCAGAGTTGTATAATGACTCGAGTCAATTACTCGATTCGAGTCACAATTTTTGGTGACTCGACTCTAGTCCCTATACGGGTAAATAACTCGACTCGAGTCGAGTCACTGCGAGCAATGGACTCGACTCGATTCCCTCATCAGAAGACTCGACTCAACTCGAGCGAAGGCTAATACGACTCGAGTCCAAAGAATGAAAGCAAAACTTTGCAAAAAAAATATTTGCAATGACTTATTACGGTGCCAAATTTATGTTCACGTCACTCTGCGAATACAAAGAGTACGGCGGTACAATGCATGCCTGCTTGTGTACAAACATACGACGTGTCACTCATACACTCATACCTAGAGGTTCTGGAACGCACAAAACACTATCCCGGAATCGGACTCACACATTTTCCAATTCATGGTTTCATCATTGGCTCTGGGCGATTTCTCATTAAGGCTCTTTGAGGCCAGCTAAATTTATGTCCCTTTAAAAATTAAATAGATACATGCCCACTTTTAAATAATCAGAAACAGTTTTGTATAATGCAATTTGGTTTTGATGTTGTCAGCGATCAGCGAAAAACAATCATGAACGAAGCCGAACCTGAAGCTTCACTTCTTGTCAACTGTTAGTGATACAAATGACTTTCTCTCTTGTCTATATTTGTAATAAAGTATTCGTGACATTCGTGACTCGAGCTAAATATTTGACTCGACTCGACTGGACTACTCACTGTGACTCGACTCGACATTCTTGAGCTAATGACTCGACTCGAGTCACTTCTTTAAAATGAATCGACTCAAGTCACAAACATCAGTGACTCGTTACTCTATTATTCTTTGTTTTGAATATGCGTACAATTTCCTCGACGCAAATTCCATCTTACAATTTTAAGCACAATTTGGCCATCGTAAAGGCAAATCATTTTGAGGATTGTTTTTTTCCCATTTCAATATTCCGGCAGTATGTGATTTCAGTTTAACGCAGCAGCCCAGGAATTCGTCTTTTTTTCCTTCCATATGATTTTTGTCTATGCATCGGGACAGAGCTATCCGAACTTGACCAGAAAAAATACACAAATTCGTACTTCACAGGCCTGATGGGGAATATAAAGCGATTTTAAACAGACGTTCTCAATAACCACGCAATTAAATTGCCACCCACATTTTTAAAGAATACATATTCCACACATGCACGAGGTGACAAATACACGTTTAAATGTAGGCGATATGACACGCAAGGGCTGCTACGTGAAGCGCTATGTAGGTGCTGTGGGAGGCGCCATAAGTGAGGCGCTTTACGCAACGGGCTGTGTGAGGTGCTAAGGCACGGCAAGGCGTTTTTCGGAGGCGCATATAATTTGAATGGATGCACAAATAATAGGTCATTCAGTGAAGTTGCAGGCTGGTCTTTTCTTTAAGATATGCCAACCTCTCCCCCCAGATATTGCGTTCGCCTGAGGAACTATGAAGATTATATTCAAGTCATGTATAGACTAATAACTCAGCAAATGCCATTACTGAGGAGGAACCAAACTTATGCGCATGTCGCACGCGCTCTAAAAATTTTTGAGGCGCGCATGGGTAAGCCTATCCGAAAGACCACCACCTGTGACGGTGCGACCTTCGCGCTTCTAATTTTGGTGTTCAAATAAGTCTGTACGGATCCCTGGGAGACGTCATCCTAATCAATTGCTGCTTCCCTGCCACACTATAAATCTCAAATCAGTGCCTTAAGATGACAAGATCCCGCTAGACCACATTAATGATGCATCATTCAATCACGAATACAGTTCGTTCACTTTAGACGATTACGTCCATCGCCTAGCTATCCACAGGCCATTCACCTTAGACTCAGGACGATATGAGGAACCAATCTTTCCCGATGAAACCTTACGATCTTTTTATCTTGAACGCAAACATCGATCCTGAACTCTGATGTTGAAATATGAACTAAGAATCGATTTGCATGGAGTAATTGAGTATTGGCACTTTCTCTCTGCTTATGATGACGTGGTTTTGAGACTGTCTTCATTTCACAGACTACCAAGACATGCATTTCATTCGAAATAATGCCAAGCCCTGCTTTATACAATGAGCAATTCTAGTCGCACACTTTCATTCATCGGATTGACTTTAAACTTGGTTCAAACCAAGAGCACAATGACAAAATGTGCATTGAGAAGGGTTTCAAGATGACATCATCGCAGGGCATGTGACGTCATGTGATAAAGCTTTATTTTTGGAATTTTTCTAAGCATTTTGAACAACATTTAACTGTATTAAATACTCTAAAAAGTGACTGCAAAAGGACAGACATAGCATACACATTTATAAAATGCGAAAAGCCCCATGTTCTGTTTTCAAACAGACATACAGCTCTAGTTATATTTCTATTTCTGTAAAGAAACATATCTCTGTCTATCAGCTTCTAATCGTCCAATCTAACGCCGTTTAAGGCCAACACAGGGAGTTTTTTTCTGAGAAGTAAAACGGAGAGCCTGGAGATTTCAATTTTGAGGAGGCGGGAATCCCTTGAGATTTCTTCTGGAAGACAAACACGCGACTGGACGAGGGCTGGAAAGCTGAACATACACAGAGAAAATGGGATGTGAACAAGGGGAGGTATTAAAGATTGCATGCAAGGAGATAGTGGTGTGAGGGGCAAGCAGTTATAGACTGGGCCGGGTTGAACACAGAGTAAAAAAAATCTCAACATTGCTTTAAATATATATATAGCACAGAAATGATTTATTTGTCTGATTCTTTTGCTTGCATTTATTGCATCTAATCATTCCATTAAGACTGCCTACATATTCAGAATCCATCAGTTATAAAGATCGCTAAATAAGAATCATAATTATACAATTTTTACTAGGTTGATTACTATAAATGATATCGAGTAAAGAATAAATCTGTGAATTTGGAACTTTTGGAAAATCCCTCATTGGCAAGACGGAAATACAAATTGTTATTTTCCTATGGAGTTCAATCACGTTTCAAAACGATTTTAAAGGAATAAATTCAGCAAAAGAAATTATCTCACTCCCCCCAAAAAACTAGGTCATTCCAATTATCACAGGTGCTAATTAATTGACTACAAATTTCACACATTATTAAGCAAATCTTATGCAGGTATACTGACTATAAGCATGAACAACAAAAGAGAAGTCAAGAGGAATGAAGTGTTAAAACAAGCAGGAAGTTCAAAATGACCATATCTACTAAAATTAATTAAGTGTGAAAATTAAATTCAATGTCATTCAATTCCAAATTGGAGCAATGTTTCAATCCTTCATTTCTGACAGTTTTTGTTTGTGGTCAGTTACCTCAAGTGGCCGGAACACTAAATATCTGAGGAGTTGCAAAACTCCAAGTGTGTCATCTGACCATCACGCAGTAGGTCTAATCCATGTAACCATATCCGTCCTGATATGTCAAGCGATACCCCGAGACAGAGATATACAGGGTTCAGCCGCTAGAATGATTCATATGGCTCTGGCCCGCTGCTTGTCGACGAACAAATCACATGGTTTATTTTGCTACACATTGTTTATGATCACATACAGAATATCTATTTTGATAGAAGTTTGTTGCTCATATCTTGTTTTTCTTTAGGTTTGGGATTCAACATCTAGTTTTAAGAGACTTCAGTTGAGACTTCAGTGTTATGTTTCAAATGTCATCTCCTCTACATGAAAATTTAAAGAAAGTGTTTTTTTAGGTATCGTTTTATTATTGCAGGCGGAGAAATTTCAGGTCAACGTACAAATGTATATACTTGGTTGAATAAGGCAGAACATTAACTATCACAAAAATAGCTTTGATTATTATTACTGATAGGATTAACATACCTTTTTGATTCTTTGATCTCTTCCAACAACCAAAAGATTACACAATTTTTGCTCACAAATTATTTTCTTTTAAAGTGCAAAACACAAAGTAACAAAAACGTGGAATGTTCTGATGTAACTACAATGTATATCATCCACAGTATAATGAGCCATTTTGCTCATGAACGTTTCTGATGAAACAAATGTATCTATAGTCACTGTGGACAATTTTGCAAATGTTTCTAAAATAAAAGAGAACCGTAAATTAAAAAAACAATATTAACCAATGTTTTCTTTGTTTAGCATCTCTGGTTATCGTGAGTGCTGGGCAACATAATTAACTTGAAAATCTCTCTAATCTTGAGTTATACAAAATCTCATTTTATGAGTACCCACACTAACCCAACATTTCCCCCCAAACAAACAAATAAACAAAGGAGTACATGAACAAACAACTTTAGCTCTACCTCTATTGCCCAGTAGTGCTCCACATCTGGGCGGGGCTTGAGTGAGTGAGGAGTGGGCGGGACCGCTAATTCAGCAGGTACATGAATGTTAGTGCAGGGATCGGTGCACCTGTTGGCACCCCTGGGAAGGGGCCCGATGAACCAGCGATATCCAGGTGAGAATATTTCAGCGGCTGATTGGAGTCTATACCGTGCTGTACAGGAAACAATGGGTCAAAGGTCAAGAAGTGAATTATGCTTCGTGGCATCATTCAACCGATTTCCCTTCTCAAACAAATTCAGTGAAGACGTCAAAGTGCCCCAAAACACTGATTTCCAAGTAGACTCTGATGAATACATACCGCTGCCATTAATAAGTAAATACCAATTGGAGTTTGTCATTTCCGGAAAAAAATGAAGGTTATTTGGACCTCGTCTAGTCTCATGGTCTGATCTATAGGTCAAACGGCTATTATTATCTTATTGATGCAAACAACAAGCGTAGCTTCTCAACAAATTCCACAGCCAACTGGGTCCTTTGGGAAAAATAGGTTGGGTGGAGGGATATACATTCAAATATGAAATATTCATGGTAATCCTAAGCGCCGAGTCAATGACGTCATCCTGTTTTAAGGAAGAGTTAGACAAAGGGGGGGGGGGGGGGATGTCTGATCATGTCTCATCTGGATTGATGAAGCTGTTTGGTCATCGATAGTTTCAGAAGGTTTGAGAGCAACAGGATGTTAGAACACTGCTTAGTGCCTGACATTTTGCTTTACTGGTTCAAGTCCGAATAAAAATGATGGATTAACCTTTTTTTGAGATACATGTAGTTGGACACAATAGGACGGCTTTATGGACTCTGAGCATGAGTACCCGCTCTATGGTTACAAAGAGAAACTTTCGGGGGCAACCAAAGGAAGGGGCTCATACTAACATTGTGGACCATGCCTGACGCTCATGAGTATGGAATACCATTTTGTGGACTCACTCTCAGAACAACATCTCTCATGCATACTTTGCACCGTACATGTAGGTGTGTGAATGAGTTCACGCACGCGATGTTTCTAGAGCTCTCACAAGAGGTTATGTAGTGCCCTCTACCATTCATGAACGGAGTCCATTTGATAGGGGTAAATTGTTTTTCGGTTACCCAATATACCCGCACAAAATCGTGCCTCCTATTGTGTCCACCACATCTCAATGAGGCTAACAGAGCTTCCTTGTGCAAAACATACACGAACAAGCTTTACAGCCTAAGTAATGAATCTCAGTGAATATAACGGAGGTACATAAATGTGCATGTATCCTCAACAGCTTTTTAACAGCTCGCAACGCCATAGTGAATTTCAATGTATGTTTTTTATATACAAATGACAATAAATTCTATGACTAACATGGTCAGGTGAATTTGTGAGATTGACTTTAAAGCATGATAAGGTTCTTCATGGAAGCCTCCAGACTCCATTGGACTCAGTCCATGAACAATAGATGGTTCGGGTTCCAAACGTTTTAATTCTGGATGTGCCTAAAACAGTGGTGTCTTCACGTGTTAGTGCCAGACGCCATCGGGAATGCATTCGAACATCCCTCCCAGTTGTCACTCCCAAATTTACATGAGATAAATGTTCCATTAGTAGTGAGAGTGTAGAATTAGGACAAGTGGAAATCTAGCTGGTGTTTGTGTGAATGTAAATGATCACAAGACTATGAATAGCAAGTGAGTCAATGTATGACAAGGTTCCCTTAATGCCACCTGCAATGTACCCTCGTGTGCATCTTGAGATTATTGGCATGAGGACACATCTAGAGTTCATCCACACTTATTTTAAAACCATGCCGTTCCTGAAAATACGAATGCAGTTGGTTGAAAAGTCAATGTTATAGGCTGGAGTCAAAGTGGCCATGTATTCTACCTCAGACATAAAACACATCCCATTGTAAAGACTGCATAACTCAGCTGGTAAAGTGCCAGTAATAATTGAAGTCCAAGATCCAAAATAAATCCCATTTCTTTCTCCGACCCAAACTTTAGTGTTATAGTTTGTGTTTGATGATTAGTCAAATCCCAGTGGATTACAGCACAGCTACTGTATGTTTCTCAACATGAGGCGATTATATTTACAGAATGTAACCAAACTGTATCCACAATAACACTGCTATGATTCACTTGACATTTCTCCCACAGAACAAATCGATGGAGAGAAGACAAAAATCAATTACATCTACAGGCATATATTCACTGCCCAAGTGTTACTACTTAAAGAACGGTAAATCTTGCCATACTATGAAATAACGAAAGACTTTAGGAGACAAGATCTTCAAGTTGGAAGACAGGGTGACAGACGTTAATTTTACGTGTACACACATTTACGGCAGTACTTATTCACTGCTACACCACTCCAATAATTATTCTTACACCTACGTCGAACAAGATGCATACATTTTTGATGCCATTCCCACTAAGCCTTACTTCAATTCCATAGTAATCAAATTATAATCCACACTTCAAGCGTGCCCATGCATATTATGTAAAAACCTCTTCCCCATTCTCCAACACTGCAGGAAAACCTTCCGGAAAAGTTCCGGATTCTGAAAATTTGACACGTATCTGACAGAACTGTGAAACCTCATGGGACCTGAGTGGGCGTAGCACACCTTCGCCGGATACACTTGCCTTCATGTTTACTACAAGGATCGCTAGCTGCCAGCCTCCATATTTTAAACTTGTTTACCCAAAAAGTGGTGAATACATTTTGCAGGACTTAACTCTCAAAACCTAAAAAAATTATCTTTTCCTTTCATCCTCAATGAGCATCAATCTTAAGTTTAATCCTTTCCAACTTTGTACCATGTCTCTTTTAAATGCAACTTATTTTGGGACTTAGCTTTGATGTCAATAAAAAATTCCTCTTTTTTCCATCTTCATCCTGATATTGAACAACTCAAATCCCAGTTATTATCGACAACATAACATGTCTTGAGACAATCTCCTTGTCTCAAGGGCTTACAGTTGGTCGGAGGTGGAGGCCGGACCGAGTGGGTGTAAGTAACAAGTCATGCGAGAGACAGACGACTGGGATAAAATGAAAGGCCAAGGTGATTGTCAACGAAAATAAATCTCTGAGTAGCGGCTTACGCAGGCGGAAAATTATAGAACCTGAGGGTTGATTACTTGAAGATCAACATCATCGTCATCTTGCAATCATCCTACAACAGGTGTACAATATATATATCCCTGGCTGCCTACTTCTAGCCTTGATCCTGTTTACTCCCATCCTACAAAGGGTTATTCCCAAAAAAATCAACTTTAAACATGGTAAACAATTTACCGCAACCCTGTATTTTTAATGTTTGCATCCTTCAGGCAATGGTTATAACCATTCTTTCTTTGAAATCATGTTTCCCTAGTTGACAGGCACAACTGAGGGGTGTATTTTCCTGACAGTCTGATTTCGTGCTTTAGGTTGGACAATTTGTTTGTCATTCTGTTTGTTGTAATTTGTCTAATTGTTTATAGGTATGTGTCTTAGATGCTTATATGGTGGGATGTGAAGCTTGAAAGCAATCATGATCATACTGTCAGTTTGTCTGTGCATTGTTTATACATGTATGTGTACGTCTCTGTATCCCCTCATTGGTATGTGTGTTGGTTTGTCAGTTTAGTTGCCAGAGTGTCATCTGTCTGTCCATATGTATGAATGATCGTCACAACACTGTCCGTCTACATGCCTGTCTGTACTTAGTCTAGCTAAGGCCCTGTCTGAATGTCCTTTTTTAATTGACATTTCTTGCAATCTGTTTGTTTGTTATGGAGGCTGACTGGCTGTGCATCTATCTGTCGGTCCGCCAATTTTATGATATTTCCTTCCATCTGTTTGTCACTTTAATTTGCTGTGCATCAGATTGCCTGTTTTTGATATTTATTTCAATCGGTTTGTTAGTTTAATTGGCAGTGCATCTGTCTGTCTGCTATTGATATTTATTTCAATTTGTTTGTTAGTTTAAGTTCAATCTCTTTGTCTGTCATGGTAGCTGTGCATCTGTCTGTCAATCCGTTTTATTTATATTTAGTACGACCTGTTTGTCAGTTGGGTTGGCTGTGCATCTGATTGTCTGTCTGTTGTTGATACTTCTGTCAATCTGTTTGTTGTTGATACTTCTGTCAATCTGTTTGTCAGTTTAATTGGCTGTGCATCTGATTGTCTGTTATGGTGGCTGTGCATCTAATTGCCCGTTACTGATATTTCTTTCAATCTGTTTGTCTGTTATGGTGGCTGCACATCTGTCTGTCTGTCTGCTATTGATATTCCTTTCAATCATTTTGTCAGTTTAATTGGCTGCATCTGATTGTCTGCCACTGATATTTCTTTTAATCAGTTTGTCGGTTTAATTGGCTGTGCCTCTCTTTGTCTGTCTGTGGTTGGTATTTCTCCCAATCTGTTTGTTTGCTTGCTGGTTATTAAACTCCCTCCCTCTCCTATCGCTTCATGAGGCTCCTTGTCACCAAGTCTTCATGAGGTCAACATTCTCCCTGAATGTTTACAACCCAGATTCTCCGACCCCCAAGGACCAACCTGACTATCAAATTACCGCATTTTCATAACAACGGCGGTTACTCATTTGCTTCCAACAAATGATGCCGTTTGCAAGTCAGTGTACCTAGAACCGTAACAAATTGAACCTGACACATCTTCTTCCATGATGTCACAACCTACTGTGATAATAATGAGCGGAGCGACGACTTTGGCTCGAAAAAATATCCAAATAAATATCCTCTCCCACAGGCGTTAGTTTTTCTGAGCCAACACAATATGTTTTTCTGAGCCAACACAATATGTCATGTCCACACCGGGCTTATTTTCCATGACATTTTCAAAGAATTGGCAAAGACATCCATCAATACTTAATTCACCAAACCAATGAATAAAACAAGCAAGCGTCAGAGTTTGATCAAGAGCTTCAGTTTGTAATGACGCCCGTGAGCTGATGCATTATGGAATCATTAAGACATCACTTGCAGTCTGCAATTCATCATGTCTGGCTGCAATGACAGTTGCAAATACTGTAATTCAATAACAAAAGGAAAGTTTCATGAAGGAAAGTATCAAGTATTTCCCTTTAAACACTCCGACTTTAAAATGCGCATTTCATGTACATGTATGTTTACATTTGTTTTCTAAAAATATTTTTCCCCGTTAAGCTAATTTTTAAC